GATTGCCTTCCTCCCACCCATTTCCCTGCATGTCTAGCTGAGCTTACACAAGTGAAAACTCTTCAACACATCTGTTCTCCAGAAACTAATGTATAGACAGAATGAATGCCACAACACTGTACATAGTATATAAAACACAGCTACAGCACACTCAACCTTCAAAATAGCAAAGACTGCATACCTTCTTCGTGTGCACCCCATCCTGTGACAACACACACCCTCGAGGGCTGAACTGCCTCCTCCTTGGCAGGGAGGCACACGGGGCGCACGTAGTGGTTGAATTCTAATGGCTTGGCCAGTTGAAGTAAGGCAATATCAGAGTCCATAGTGGTCTTGTTAAAACTTGGATGTATAATATACTGCTTTACAGACCTTTTCTGTGAAAGCAAGGACATTGACACTTTCTGAATGACTTGTGAATTTGAATCTTTAAGTAACTTTGGTTTTATACATTTTCAGGCCATATGCAAGATGCTTTAAGAGGAGGAAACATTTAAGAGCAGCTGCTGAAGCCACCAGCTTTCTTATATTAATGAGACAAGATTATGCCTCTTGGATATGAATCATGGACCATGCAGGAAACTCCATCCAGCAAGTGTATGAAGGGGGTCTTAGAAAAACATTTGTCCAGTCTGAGCAATTTCTGTCTTGGTAGTAGTCACCAGGGAATTTTGTAACAATACACTCCCCACACACACCCTCAAGATACTGAGCTTTGGAGTTCATTACTGATAAAGGCACAGATCTGTGTTGATAATATTTCTCTGACAGTCACACAAAAGCTGTTGTGTAAATGTAGATTAAGGTCAGCACGGAGGCTGTTCGATTGCTGCATCATGAACAATTTGGGAGATGCATTTACATTAAAAACTATTTTGTGAGATTAATTTAGATTTTATTATTAAGCAGAACATATAGTACCTGTCTGTATTCTTGCTCTGTAAGATCATGAATTCCTGTTACCACCATCCATAAGTCTCTGTACATTTCCCTTTAAAAAAAAAAAAAAAAAAGATAAGTACATTCTCAGGCTGGTATAACAGCATTCTTGAAACCTGTGAGTCTTAAAACCTCTTCTACCCAAAATAGATAACAGGGCCCTACATATTCCTGGGCCAACAAATCCTGAGGCCTACACTCCCATACAAATCTATGGAAATCTTCCCACTGACTTCTAGGGAGCATGAAATATTCTCTCAATGAGGCCGTAAGATCTCTCAAAGACACAACAAACTGAGAGAAAGGTCATTTTTATAAGGACTGCAGGTGCCTGATACAGAACAGAAGGCCTGCATGGTCCACATCATCCAGCGACAGTGCTGGTCCCTACCTTCTTAATGAAAAAATAGGTGACCTCTAAAACATTACTACCTATCAAATTATATAAAGAAATGCAACAAAAACATTTCATTTCACACTTTGGTTTCTTAACCAAACCCTCTCACTGCCTGAAAACTTGTCATAACTTTAGTTGTGGAGGATCATTAAGGCACGTACACAAATTCTGATGCAACGGCAACATGAAATAGAGAATTCCTCCTTAATACAGCTCTTAAATCAGTACCTTCAACGCAGTGCAACAATGCTCCTAACATAAAATTTTGCAAACTAATATCTAGAAACTTAGAAGCCAAAGTCCAAAATCCAAAACAGCACTTGCATTTCAGATCCCCGGTTTTCAAGGGGGCGGGGGGAATCAAATGGAGAATATAGATGTCTAAGCATCTTTGCATTTCGGGGCTCTGAAAGCTTACTCTCATTTTCAAGTAATTGCAACTTTATTTGAAAACAGGCCAGAATATCTAATTTTCAGCAATCCTGGGAGGATTTTTAAAAAATACTTTAGTGACCCAAAGTATGTGAATTTTAAATTAGTGTACTTGTGATGAATTTGAACTTCAAAACAGGTACTGTTCAGCCTAAGAGATGAATAAACAAATTGCTGTCGAGAAAGTATTTTAAAGAGCCTGAAAAATCACACAGACTATCCTTTTGTCTCCTCTCAATAAAGACTGAAACCTTTCCATGTAATCTGATTTAACAGATTGATAGGTTCTTATTAAGGGAACGGCATCAATCCTGTGCACAAAGGCCTCCTGTAAGTCTGCCCCTACACAAATTCAGTAATTTTAAATTTTTTTGATAGGTTGATTCTACCTGGATGAAAACTTGCTCTGTAAATGACCCAAACACAAAGAAGTTACCCAAGAGTAAGTGATATATGACAAGGGACTTAGTATCTTGTCATCTCTTCTGAAAACTGATCTGAATGAAAACCAAGTCCACAGAAGTAGGCTACCTACTTCCTTAATAGCCATTGTGATCCTAGTACACGTGTGAGGAGCAAAAGAATCCAGTGCCAGTGTGAGCTCTAAGTAGGTGGTAACCAAAACTGTGCGAGCCACCCTGGGCAGAACCACCACACTGCAGACATGTACCATGCAATTACAGATGTTCCCAGGGAAGGGTTTATCCCAGTGTACTTACTTAGAATCGAAGCAGTGAGCAGCTGTGACAACCCATTCTTTGGAAAGAACTGCTCCTCCACAGATATGCTCATCTGAAATTTGTACACTGACCTGCCAAGGCCATGAATATGGTACAGCTTCTTCACCTCCAATTATCCTACTGAAGATGAACCTGGGCTGATTTGAAGGCATTCCACAAATATAATCTGAAACAGAAAGCAATTATGTCTCAAGAAGTCTTTAGAGCTTAAGATTTAAAGAAGCAAAGAACAGTTCACTTAAGAGCTACCCCACAGCTTCTCAAGTTTCCCCTTTCCCTTTTTTTGCTAAATCTTTCAACTTCCCCCATTACAAAGGATCTAAATGTTTAGAGAGAGCATGAGGAGATGATCTTAGCAAAACCGGACCTTCACCAAGATGAAAGCAACTGCTCACCTTCTCAAGTTTTACCTTTAAACCTACAACTAATATGGACTCATCCCATTCTCCATAAAATACCAGAGGAAAAAAGGGAAGTTCTAAAATACTGGTTATTATTCTCAACTACTCTTTGTAATTATTTTCATCAAAGCAAGTAGGTGTAAACTGACACATAAGCTGAAATAATGTCATTGCATTGCTGAAAAAAAAAAAAAAATAAATTCTGGGACAGCAACATTCATTTCCCCAACGTATTTGGAGAAAACACCATTTAAGTTCTAGTCCAAAAGGCACTTCCTGTTCTCATGAAGAAAACATAACTCAGGTTGGCTTACCTGTCGTAACCTGTATTTCTTCTTCAGCCATATTCATGTCTTCAAATTCTTCACCACTAGTTGAATTCAAAGTATCTAATTTTAGCAAGTGAAAATAGTAAATGTGTTAGCAGGTGTCTTGAGCGATATTTTTATTACAAAATTACTTTTTTTTTTCCTTTATTATAATTTTTGTAGAAGGAATGGATTCCTACAGTAGGGATCTGTGCTATTACATCTTCACATGGTAGTAAAGTGCCATTTAAAATGTACCAAAATACTCTTATACAAAACAAAATTTTTGGGGGGTAGATTAATTTTTTCTCTTCACCCATTCAATAGGTCCTTTGTTTAATCCCTCAATAGGTTCACAATGCTGTTTTTTCACTGAAACTCTTTGTCAGATGAGAATCTCCTAGAGGAAAATTATTCTGAATAGCCAGAATCACTGAGGAGCCCTTTGTGCTGCCCCAAAGAGGCAGTTTCTCAAGTTACTTCTATTACCTGTTAGATGAACAAAAGAGATTGTAGCTCTGAATCCTCCGAAGGTCTCTGTTTCATCAGAGTGAAAGACAACCAGCATCAGAGCAGAGGAGCTTAGAACAGGTGCTGGTAGGGCAAATCCACAAGACTTAGCTAAAGATGAGAAAGCAAAGGTTTGCTGCAGATTAACATGTACTTTTTCATCCTCATCTCTTTCAACAGTAGGTACCCAGTATTCTGTGTATTCCAACTCTCACAAAAGAAGGTAAAAAATAACTATGCACAAGGGAGGAGTAGAGATAAGTGGACTGAGGGACTGTTCTGTTAGGTCCAACAGTCTGTCCTTGTTCAGTAATTATCTCATAAGAACAAGGAGACTCTTGCATTATTTCACAAGAGTTTATTGCAGCACTCATGCTCGTGGGTTGCCATTACATATAGAACACACTGGAAACCTGATTTCCCCTTGTTAGTGTTTCAGCACCAGCATTTGCTAGTGCTGATCTAAGCACCAGCATCAAGCAGGTGCTGAAATCAGTTGACTGGGACAGGTCCTCCTCTCATTTAACGTAAGCCTGGGGAATCTCCAGCAAGGTGGCAAGAGTTATATAAATGCTCATCTAGAGTGAAGAACAACTGAACTCTGAAAAGAAGACCTCTTGGGTGTTTTTTGTGTCTCATAATTACTTTAAAAACAAATTGTGTTAAGCCCTTTTCTTCATTTACATGAACTCAGAACTGCATTTCATGTACAATTTAAATACACAAACCTGTCCTGTTCAATGTGTTTTTGCCTTTGTAAGTAGAACAGAAGCAGCAATACCTGCAAGTATTTTTCAAGGTACTGAACCTAGTACCTATAACATCACTGAGACTCTAGAGGTGAACTTGATTTTAGACAGTACAACAGGGCTAGTGAAAGTCACAAAAGAAATAAGTCATTCCCAAAATATGTCAAAAATCAAAACTCAAACCAATTTCCTCCTCTTTTCCCACATCTTCATACACAGTCACGGCATCATAAGAGCAATCTTCACTCTCTTCTACTTCAAAAGACTGGTATGTAAGCTTTAAACAAAAAATGGAAAAGTGAACCTTATTGTTAAATTCACACAGAAAAAAAATCAAAGATCTGTAATAATTAAAAAGACCCTATTACAGACCCTATCTGTAATAGGGTCTTTAGTATTATCAATGATTTCTTTAGGGTTTGGTTTCTGTCACATTCAGACCTCTCACAAGATCTGTCATGATAAAATTTAAACCAGGAAATCCTATTTTACTATAACCTACTAAATCCTATTTTAATATAACGGGTAATTTATATTACCTTTATAATATAAAGGAGAAATCAAAACCTATCTGGTTTTTGGGATGGAAAGTGATATCTCTTAACTGTATCCAGCAGCATTATTCTAGTTTATGTTGCTTGATCTTGCTTGTCCCTTAGGTGCATAATTTCTTGTTAAACGCCATGGTGCTTACTTCCATTCTATAGACACAAGAAAGGCTGCTGATACCTTGATTACATGGTCCTCTGGTGCACAAATAATCCATTGACAGTCTGCCATGTTGCTGTAGTGCTCTGGATAGTGCATACTTTGTAACACTCCTTCTTCAAAAAGGACAGCTAAGGACTCACAGCCAGAATCTGGAAATCCAGGAAAACAAAAATTCAGGCACTGCGATTTCCTATTAAATCATTCACACACAAAAAATATTTAAATCCAGAAAAACCCTTGTAGTGTTTTCACACAGCTTAGAAAGAGAACAGGACAAGAGTAGCAAGCCAGATCCTTCTGTTTGCAAAAGCTGCAAAGAACATTTTTAATTTTTTACCAGGCAGAAGAGCAATTCAATGCATGACTATAGCATTCTCCTTTGGCTACAGGCAGTGCACTGCAGGCACAGGTACCAGTATGGGGTGATAGAAGAGCAGGATATGGGCATGTCAGAAGAACATTTGCCAGCTTTCTTTGGAGAGGAAAGTGGAGATATAAAACACAACCAGAGGATATGTCTTCCTCATGAGCTATGCAGTGGCAAGTCCCCTCATAAGATCCCTCCCTACACTCTGCCCATATACTCTGCAAAGGAAAGAAACTTAACTGGAAAAGCAGCAGAAACAGGAATAACAGGTGTCTGTCTGTAACTGGATTGTCCAGGCTCAGCAGATGGCCCTTGGGGCTGCTCCCTAGTGATGAAGAACCACTCTGCACAGCAAAACTGAAAGCAATTCTCCATGTCCCATATCTTAGCATTAGCAGTTTCCCTCAGGGCCCATCCATGAAAGCCCGCTTGGGACTAGCAAAGCAGCTTTCATCTGGAAATTGTGCTCATTTGATTAATCTTATTAATTGAGTTTTTAAACATTCTGGAAGTAAGGAAGGAAATGAGATCTTGTATAAAGTGGATGGAGAAGAGGCAAAGTTAAAGGAGAGCTTCTCTCAACAGCATCTATCCCATCTCTTTCTGGCATCTCAATTTTTCCACAATGTCGCACAGCAGCCTAACCACAATTACCTTGTTCATAACATCATCCACACAGAAATATCACAGGAGCTTCCTCTTGATTTATTTTCTCCTGAAAATTTTTTTCCAGATCCCTACCCAAGAGGGCAGACAGGTATATTACTAGACTTAGACTTACCAGGAAGAATATCTGGTGTAAGAGCTTTGTAGGTCATGGAAAAACCAGTTCCATAATCCTTGTTGTCAGAAACAAATTTCAGCCTTATGCTATTGGAGCCAATCAAAATAGGTAATGGAAGATCTCCTCCACAGAATTTCCCTGAAATATAATATTAGAGAATAATCACTGTTTAAATTCTTTAGTCACTTGAGAAAACTTGCGTGTACTATTTTTAGTACTTAGCTATAAAAATGTTAGGATAAAAGGAAATTGCCTATTCATTCCTCTACATTCCCTATTAATCCATTAGCCCAAACAGATAAACACTATTAAAAATTGAAAACCCTTGACACGAGAAAGTTGTATGCCAACACAGTACCCTACCAGGCATTTTCCATTCTTTTCTCCTCCCACACTGTTTGTCTTTTATTTTCACAATGTAGTAATGTATTGTATTGTCACAATGTATTAATCATGAAAATGTAAGTAAAACATACTCAACTGCAATGTCCTCATTGGGTGTGCTTGCTGTTGCAATGAAGAGATTATTTCAAAGAATAAGGGGATGGCAACTCACCAACAAGTCTGTCGTGTTTTGAATAGACTGATAAAGAATCATAGTCACAAAATGTTTCTGGCTCTATATCAAAGTGGGAAAAATGAAGCAATATGTAATTCCCCTCCGGTACAAATAGAGTCCATACGCACAACCTGGAACAACAATTAGTTCCCGTTCACAAGACTGCAACAAAAAAACAACTACACTGGTATGGGGAATAGTTTCTGGGGAACGACTGTGTTTTGTCTACTTACTGGTGGTTTTCATAAAACTGCTTGGGACTTCCAGGAAAATTTAATTCTCCTTCACTGTCAGGGAGTTTGCCATCCTGAATGCTACAAAATGCTGCATTGTAGAGTTAAAACAAAATAGAAGGAATCAGGTTTGGCATATATGCAATCATCTGTTCCACCAAAAAGCTCAAACTTCTAGAGAATATTGTGAGACTCAAGATTGCTCAGCTGTACCTTGTTTCTGCTGGCAGACTGATACTGGGTCTTCTCCCTTCTCTCTTTGGAATTATGGCAAGTCAATTTTAAAACATGTAATTCGGGGGCAAAAATTAAGCACTGCCAATGAGCTATCACATTTTATTGTAACAATGGCAGTGGTTGTTTTTTACTTTAAAGAAACTATTTGTTAAATGAGGATTTCAGTATAAACACTTTTCAGGGAGGAAAAACGCACACCTCAGGACATAAGAAAATTGTTCACTGCAGCCCATTTGTAATAACGTCCTTAGCTATGTTACAGCAGGAGACTTTTACAAGACAATATGGTATTAAAGACACTTTAATAGAAGAAGTAGAAGCTTTCCTCTCCAAATAAGTGTCACTAGAAACACAATTACTTACAAAAACGATCTCCTCTTGCCTTTCCTTCTCCTTGCAAGGTAAGCCAGTAAGACATTTATTAATAACTATGTGTATGAAAACAAATTTAAGGAGTCACATATTTATGAGATTATCTCACCTGAAGTATCCTAGGAAGGCCAATGAAAAATTTCAAAAAGACACAAACAGCATTTAAGTACCCAGTTCTCACTAGCCACAGCAAGTCTATACAAACTGACCGTGTGCCCAAGCTCATTTATCATCTGAGAAATCTCACTCTATATTACTAAAATTAAAGTTTTAAGATCTAGTTCACAAGAGCTGTTTCTAGTATCTTTATGTGAATTTGTACCTAGAAGAACAGTGTCCAACAAGAACATAAACACGGCAGAATCAAAGAATTAAAGAACCAAAGACTTCCATTTTAAAATATTCAGGGCTGGGTTTCCTGGGGTTTGTTTTTTCTTTCTTTTTATTTGAGGGGTTTTTTTTGCATTTTATTCATAGAAACAGACACCAGACAAGTAGATTCCTCATAGACTGTGCAAAAGTACTACTAATTTACCTCGTACTTTCTATTCAGTATCTATATTTTTATACAGAATCAACTTCACTAACTAGATTTCATGCATTGCTTAAGGCTCTGTTCTACATTTTTCACATTAATTTGATTTGCAATTCAATAAAAAATATAGCATTATATATGCAGCTGTCTTAAGGAAAATTCCTTTTTGAAGTCACTAGTATCTAAGTACAACCCTACATAAGAAGTCTTTTTTAACAGAACCAGGAGGAAAAAAATATATATTTAAAGTATACATTTAAATGTGTTTTGATGAGTCAAGTTTCTTCACGTTTCTTCCTTCATAGATTATATACCAGACTATTTCTGGGATCTTCTTATGCTCTAACATAGATAGGAGATACTGGAAAAATACTGCACTTACCTGTGGAGCTTTTCATCTTCAGATCTAATAAAGGAGGGATAGGGAAGGGGGTAGAAAAAGAAGAATAAGTTACTGTAGTTTCAGATTCACAACATAGGCTTTATTTTTATCTGTGTTAAATGGTAATTTTATGCAGCTAGCACTGAGGCAAATTCAAATACTTCTTGTGAACACAGCACCTAAAACAAACTAGGCTTACAATTAAAACAAAATTGCAAGTTCAGGCAATGCTGACTTTGGAATATACAATTCTGGAGTAGCCACTTCTAGAATTAATCATACACTGATAGGCCACCACTCAGTCTAAGCACCACAGTACTCTCTTTCTATGTACTTGTTGAGTAAATACTATACATTTCAGGTAATGGTAGCAGAATCCAGCTGCTAGCATCACATCAGGGACACAGAGACATTAAGCCTGACAGTAGCTACAGTAAGATCTTTTGCACAAGCATAACAGTATAAAAGCGTGAGCAAGCAAAACATAGTGCAATGTGATTGAAAACTGTGTTTTCACTTTACCTACCAAATCACTTCTTCTGTTCACTGGAGCCAACACACTTTAATTACCGCAATAGCTAATCACATTATTTTTTCCTAATAATAAAATGGGCTAACTAGTACATTTTTAATAAAAAGATCCCATCTCTCTCTTTTCTGGTTTTTTTTTTAACTGAAAACTAAATTTTTTTCAGAAGCTAAACCCTTTTAATTTTTCTCCAATGTTACAAGGGTTTCTTTTTTTAATCACCAATTCAGGCTCTTTTCTAATGGTAAAGTCTTATTTTTTCTCTCACTATTGACTAGTAAAACCTCTTAAAACACCCCTCCTCAGTTTTTCAGTTCTCTATGTAAATTTTAACACAATCTCCAATATCTTTTAATAAAAATAGCCAATACTGGAAGAAAATGTTAATTCAGTTTCTTAATGCTCTGAGTGAAGTTCACCCCCTGAACGGACTGTCATTCCTATCTCCAGCTCCACGAGTTTGGAAGGCATTGTGAAATGCTATACTGCTTTGCCAGGAAAAATGGGGAAAATAAAAGTGCTGTATCTTGAAAAAGAAAAAAATCAATTAAATATTATTATGGGACAGAAGAGGTGTTAAAAGTGAGTGACACATTACTGTGCAGACTTAGTACCAGCACTCATGTTCTCTCGAATCCAGGAAAGCACCGCACTGAGGTCTGTGAATATTCCCGGAGATCCTCTGTGATAATGTTTCTTCTTCTCATTACTCATCCAGCCACGAGCACATCCCATCCCCCAGGAGATCACACCAGCGAGAGTCCAGGCACCATGCTTACGTCGGCACAAAAGCGGGCCTCCTGAGTCTCCCTGTAAAAAACAAGCGAAAGCCCACATCCCACAGCTTACAAAAGCGTGTGCATACCACTAAGCAAGCCTTAAAGAGCTCACTGAGTTCTCTTTTCTGCCATACTAACAAACCTGCAATATAGGGAGCAGTAATTTAAAAGAAAACTGCCAAGAAAGACACTTTATTTTTTATTGTGTTTACTCAGAATTGTCAAGAGGGGGAGAGAGAGACTAATTCCCTCATGGGTGCACGTCTTTTGTGTTTTAGCATGTAAAAAGGACGAAGGAGCTTTTTTTTTTTACCCCCATGACAAGGAACAATCACTTAACCTTTATCTCACTTCCTTTCCTTCCTCTAGTCCAAGGCAATAGTTTATACATTCCTCCTTAGGATTTTAGCAACATTAACAAATTAATTTATGAAATGTTCTAAAGTTAGAATGCCCTAAGCATTATTGCACTGGGATACATTGCAAAATTGCTCTCAGGAACCTGTTATACAACTCATGCAATAATTAAAATGGAATCATGTAATTAAGTGCATTGCCCCATATGGAACCTTTGGAAGAATTAACACATCAAAATAAATACACTCCAAATATTGCATTTTACAGTGTATATATTTACTTGGGCACACAGAGCCTTGAGCTTCTGACAAACACTTGTAAGTACACAAGGCCCTCTGTTCAGCTGACCTGGCAGGCATCTTTTCCTCCATCGGGAAATCCAGCACACATTATAGTGTCACCTTGGATGGGTTTCTTTAAAGTTGATAATGCTCTTGAACATTCTGCATTGTTGAGGATTGGTAGATTGACTTCATATAAGACCTGAGGGAGTACTCCATCTCAAATACAGAAAAAAAAATGTTCATAAGAAATGCTAAAGGTGAACTTAATGTCACTGCTAATACACACACTAAATAAAAGTTGTAAACTTGCTCCAGGCCATTTTATGGTTACACAAACATCCACTTTTGTATACATAAGCCATAAGCAGTTTTACTTGAATAAATGTAAAAATGTTTCAAAATTGAAATACAGGTCTATATACTGTAATGATCCATTTTGAGATAATTCACAAGTAGGCACAGAAACTAGCAGAGATCCCATTTGGAGATTACAATTCTTATGATCAGCTGGTGGTTTTCTGTGATCTGTTTATCACCTAGGCAATCAAGCTCTCAGCTTTAGAAATAAAGACACTGAGAAACCTGAATGTCAAAGAATAATTTGAGTGGCTTACTCTCATTTAAACGGCCCCAACCACAAGCAGTGCAGATATATCCTGCTTCAAACTTTTCACCGGGATCAGGAAGACATGCTGGCAAAACTGATGGACCTGCCACACATGGACATGAATTTTATTGATAAGTATTTGAAAGAACAACAACAAAAAGCCTCCTTTCTCTATTAGGTTTTTTTTAAAAAAAACAAAAACAAAAAAACTAAATAGTATTGTTACTTTTGTGGCATCTGAAAAAATTAACCTGGCATTTGATAATTTATTTATGCCTCCACTTCACAGTGTTTTGGAATGGAAAAAGAAAGCCAGGACCACCACAAGCGTCAGCCTAGGCCTTGCCATTCAGCTTAAACTTAGCTGCTATCATGATGCATTAAAAAAAGTAGTTGCTCACCTTTGTGGTGGCAAAACGTGAGCCACCTAGTGACGTGAGCTGGAGCCTACAAAGAGCAAAGCGTATGCACCTCAATATTATGTAAAACTGATGTGAAGTGGCCTTTCAGAAAACCCAACTGTAAGGCAAAGGTGGTGTAGAGCTGAGAAACGGCTGGCTCACAGTCCAGGAAACAGGGTATTAACAACCCTACCCCCCCACCTTCCTCTTTCCCCTACAGCCCCCGATGGACCATTCTGCCACTGCTACAGACAATCCTGTGCTCCTTTCTGCAGTCTGCATGAAGGGAAAAGAGGGCAAATAGCAGAGGGGTGAGAGTAAGGTACAAACAGTACTGTGGTACACTCTGAGCTCTGGTCTGCCTTTAACTAGCTTTACTGTTCACCAGAGGCAACAATGTCCACCTACACTTCAGACAAAAATTAAAAACTCCTATTTGGTCAAACTTCAATCTCCTGCATACAAAGAACAATACCGTTTTCTTCAAGGGAGTATTAAGTCTGAAGAAGACCACTGAATTCAACTGATACATTTTTCTGACTTACCTCTGGTATTTTAAATACTTCAGTTGCAAAGCAGTCTGGAGACTTTTAGTGGTATAATCTGACAGCTGGGAAATGGGTTTAAACTGAGTTTCAAGACTTTTCACAGCGTGTGGGAGAAACAACCCATTCCCACTGAAAAAGATCACAGATAACTATGGCCTTACTGAAGTTGAAGGCTCCATCCAGCTTCAGAAGGGCAATGTCATAGTTCATTGGCCTTCTTGGGTCAAAGTTAGGATGCTTAATGACATATTTAACAGGGAGTGTTTGCTCGCCATTCTCCGTGATCCTCAAATCATACTCTCCCGCAGTGACATTCAAGTACTGGAGTAGGTTTCTGTAGAATAGAAAAATAAAAGTGCAGCTACAGAATCTTCAAAATGAAAGGAAAAACATATAGTTGTTTTTAAAGAGAAGAGTTATTACTTCTGATACCTAATACCTTTCATGTTCAGATTTTAGAGTGCTTACTATGCACAGACAGCAAGAACTGAGCATGCCCTGCAGTAAAAATTGGGAGATGAAAAGGGCTGAAAAGAAAGGTGATTTAGCTACACTCCTGACTGTGGTTTGGTGGTCTGCTAAGGAACCAGTTCCTCTTATGGTGTTTAAAAATGTTCAGTCACACTGTTTTTTGAAGAAGGAGGGAAGATTTGGACACAGGAAAGTACAAATATAATATGACCACTTCTCTAGCATTCTCAGTTCATATCTTAAAAAAATAGTGAACTCTGCTTTGGGGCTCCTAGTACCAGATCAGATGTGCAACAAGGAAACACAAAAGCAATCATTATAAACTTTTTATTCTGCTTCAAATTTATTCACACTTGAAGAATTATTTTTGTGTCAGGAGGCTTTATGCCGATTGAGATATTGCCTGTCCTTCTGTAGTTAATATAAACTCTGCAGTTATTGTCTAATTTGACCAAGATGTAATCACATATAATGACAGATACAGATTAAATTTATAATTCCAGGTGACCCATTAGTACGAAGATTCAGTTTTAACTACAGGGGATTCAGAATCTCAGTGAAGTCACCACAGAATCAGGACTGAAACCTTCACAGACTGTAACATTCACAGACTTTTTTTTTAGCATTGAGGCTAAAGTCATCAGCATTTAAGAGGTCAGTACTATATTTATCACCATATATTTAGGTACAGGTTTTTACCTACACTTCCAAAATCAGTCTCTACCAATCCCTGTAAGTTTATTTTATTCTTAATTATTTTTGATATGTCCAAAGGTTTGGGTTTTTTTCTTCCTTTCTGTTAAAACATGGAAAACACTGCTTACAAATGAAAGGGTAGCACCTGTAAGTATTCACCACAAAAGATGGTACAGCACATAAACTTATACAATCAATATTTTTCTGCAGCCTGCTCCTGAAATATCACATCCATACCTGTCCAAGATGCAGTGAGCTGCTGTGACCACCCACTGAGCAGAAACAATGGTGCCTCCACAGAAATGCTTTTGCCTTCGTTTCAAGGAAACCTGCATCACATAGAGAAGGTGTGTCAAATAAAGAAAGCCTTTATATCTGCTCTGATTGCATTTGAGGAAGAAAGGAGACAGTACACGCAGGTACTCTCCAAAGATTCACATAGCTAAAGTACACGCTGCATTTCAAGCAAACACACGTTCATGGCATTCTTACAGCTCTTGAATCTAAGAGATCCTAAACCCTGCTGTTCCCCTCAGCTGTGACTTGGTACCTGGATAAAAACACCATACATGTAATAAATGCCAAGTCATTGAGGTACTTGGCACGCTGTAAAGGTTACTAGTTAGTTGAGAATTTTTCCTTTGCAGGTCACTAGGAGCACTGCAAACCCATGATGCCTGACAATAGTCAGGACCTGGGGGTGGTGTTCTTCTGCATCCTTCTATTTTTAAGCAGTTTTACCCATGCTTCTTTACAATAGACTAATCTACAGATACTCTTTCAGAAAGAATGTGTCCTGGTTTCGGCTGTTAAAACCACAACAGAATGATAAACAAAATAATAAATAATAAGCAAAGGTTTCTTACAGAGCAGGACATGGTCTGTGTCCCCTCTGCCTGCTTCACTGATTTCATAAAAGCAGAGCGGAGCTCAACAACACACCACAAGGGTCAGTAAGCACAAAATATACCCGTTTTCTTCTTTTGTCATTTCTATGAAAAGTCAAGACTTTCTTCTGAAGGTAAAACCACATTTGCTCGTACAAACCTGCCATGGATGTGAGCCTTGTTTCACCTGGCTTCCCCCAACAATCCGAGTGAAAAGGTTAAGGTAACTCCATGGTTTTGTCTCTTGAATTTTCTGCCCACACTTAGGATCTGAGGAGTAAAAAGGGGGAAAGGAGGAAAGATTTAGCCTGGATTTAATTTTTTCTGCTTTTTAGTAACACAGAATTGGAAGGCATGGCCTGGCACAGAGCTCAGTGCAATCTCTCTGCCAGGACAGGAACCTTCTTACAATTCCTAATACAAACTTCCCAGACTAAGGCTAAACTAATCTAAGAAAAAGGCAATGTACTTTGTTTTGCAGTTGTTCTCCAAATGAGCACTTTTTGGTTTCATGTTATCACAAATACTAAATTTTGCCTTCCATGAGCAAATGTGCATGTGTGTGTATATATATATATATATTTATATATTAACGTTCTCATTAGGTCCATGATTACTTGAACTTCCTGAAATGTCAACATTCTCTTTCAAACAAGTTTTGGAATTATTTTGGGACTAAATCACTGTTTCATTATCACTTTCTGAAATCTCTTTACACCCAGCATTTGTACTTAAAGTATTTTGTGTATGTGCAACATACAGACCCTGATGACAAACAACAGTGGCTGAATTTCTCCAGAACATCTACTACTTTGTCAACTTTATTTCTTCTTAACCCTTTATTGTTATCATCCACTATGGCAAAGTAAAGCTCATAATATTTACCTATTTTTAAAAGAGTGTCTTTAAAGAAACAAGTATTTGTGGTGATAACTACTGATTTGGTAGTATTTTAAGAAAGACAGAAGCAAAACAACCAGTTCTGCCAAGCAGCACGTTTTAAGAGAGGAATTCTTTGTAGTGCACTTCCCAAAGCCAGCAGTGGACACAATTTTTATTTTTTTTTCCTTAAAGCTGTATGAAAACTCAGTGAAACCAAACAGATCTCTCCTACATTTTACCACAAATTCTGTTAAACACTACATTTGGAAAAATTTAGCACCCATAAACTTGGAACATTTTGTTGTTGTTCTGACAGATAAGTGGCTGTACTCAAAGGACGGAGGACCAATGCTTGTATAAGCTGTCTGAAAAATGTGGAATCCTCCAAAACATAAAATGCAGCCTACAACACCTATAAAAAGAGGTTTGCAATCATCCTCAGGATTAGCATGGCTGATGTAAGTGATCACAGCGTCACAATAACGCTGACACAATGCTACTTACCCTAGCTTTTAAATTAAGAAAGGCTTTATACAGCAATGATACAGTTAATTTATCTGTTTTCATTCTTTCCTAACTCTCCCTCCACCCACCTTTTTCCCATGTGCAAGGATACAGTGAAGAAAGGGGAAAAAGTAAATCTTCATGAAGGAAACAGAAACAATTGCAATCATTAATTGTTCCAAAAAAAGAATGCTCTGGATTTTAAGGTATAAGACAATGGAAGAGAGGACTCACTGTATTTCGTTTGCAGCCCATGGGTAATATTGCTGCAAATCTGAGAGTATTTAATTTGATTTAATTAGAAATCATATTTATTTAATATTATTAATTCTGATTCACCAAGGAATCAGACAAAATTTTTGTAAGACTTCCTCATTAAAAGATTACTTTCAGTTCCAGACTTGTAATGGAACAAAAGCAAAGAATGAAAACTAGATCAATTATTCTAATGCTACGTCGTGTCTAGGTCTGCAGGCCCTTAGGGTCAAAAACTTATTTCAACACTGACTGTCATGCTTGTCACTGCCTAAGAACAAAACCGTTAGTACCTAGAAAACTGTTAAAGCTAGACGTGAAATTTTCATCCTACCTTTCTGAAGAGCAGATGGTACAGCACAAAACTCTGTAATACAAACTATCCCCATCAGGAGTAACTGCAGCTTGCTGGGGGCAACGCGCATCTTGGGGTGCTAAATGACCGAGTGAAAACAAGGAGAGTTTTTATAGGGAAAAAGAAACCCACATACTACACTGCAGGGGAACAGCAACTAATTGAAGTAGAAGTTACTCATTAATCCAGCCATAAAGCATTTACCAGCACAAATAAGTTTTCCAAATTTAATGGAACATGATTCTTTTATATGCCATTACTGAAGTCTTTGCTGTAAAATACTAGCTAAATTTCTCCCTAAAACTAGTTTTTTCAGGCAAAATGACAAAATGAAGTTATCATTGCTTGATTTGCTAGCAATACTTACCCAGGCTGATCTACACATTGAATTAGAACACACATGAACAGAATGTCCATTGCTATTTGCCCCTACAATTTCTACAGCTTTTGAAGAGACAATACTTTACATTTCCTGCACAGTTCATATTTAGCCAATTTCACAGACCGGCGAAAATACCAAAAGTTTAACATTTTGTTGTCAGCACACTCCAAGATAGCTCTCTGCATCAAAATGTCATTTTTTCAAAAGAGCAGTCTTTACATCTCTTTTTTGAAAGGCAACTAGAGGACAAGGCTCAGCTTTTTACAAATATTTCAGTATTGCTGCAATCAGCAGTACCAGTTCTGAGTCACGTTGATGGATAAGCTCCACTTTAATAGAAATTTAAGTGCAAGTCTCTTAAAAGGCTATTCAAATCCTAAGTAAGGAACAAAGCAGCAGCTAAATTAAAAGATTTCACAAAACAGAAAGCATAAGTTAAATTACCCTGCAAATTCGCCCCTTAAAACTTCCATCTCATCAGTTTTAGCAAGTATTGCGTGACTTGGAAATGACTGAACAAAGGGGTAAACACAATTAAAATACTATCCAAACTATCTTAAATTTATATGAAATATATAAACACCACGTAAGACATTAGATTCATCAAGAGAAGCAATAGATTTACTCTGGATGGCAGAAGCCACGAGTCCCATTTGTACCAGAAAAGGTAAGGGATATTTATACCTGGGAACAAAGAAATATTAACACAAGAGATGGAAAAATGTAGCTTATTTGTGATTTTTTTTTTTTTTTTTTGGCTTAAGTGGCTGAGATCCTCAGCTTCCCCTATCTTTGTAAAAAATAATTCAAAATTTCCACCTTCAGTATTCCCACAAATGCTGTAATTTCCACATGGGAAATGCATCAAACTGAAGACAGAAACATGAGGTAAACAATACATGCACATTAATACAAATTTCAGTCTTGAGCACCTTCATAGTCATAACTTACCAAAATTACATTTTTTCAAGATGCCAACAGGTAAATGTAAAATACGTACTATTTTAAAATAAAGTGCAACAGCAATTAAACAATTTCTCTTTTTGTGGTTACCATCACATTGGACAAGACTCACATTTTTTAATTCTGCTCAGGCTCCCAAAGAAAACAATCTTATACTTGACTCACTAGCCCCAGTCTATTGAGTATGTTCACAATATCCCCCCGATCCACTATCAGTCAACATCCCAACAATCATTTATGTATTTATTCAATTCTTAGTTTTTGTTCTTCTTTTGCCATGCCAGGCAGAGGATAACAAAAACCAGCCTTTACTCTGAATGTGCAATTTCATAACAAACAATGGAATACAAACTCTGTCCTAGAAACTTTGAGTTGCAGTTGTTTTTTCTGTTATAAATACACAGAACTTCTTAAGACTGCAGTTTTCCTACTGGTCCTGTAGAGATCCCCAATTCTGCAACTTCTGAAACCTACATCACCAGTATCATTCCAACTCTAACCAAAAACTTTGAAGGGTGCTTTCCTTCATTAATTCATTTTTATTTTGCAGGGACAAAACAAAAACCTAAACTCCCCAAATCAGTTCCATGGACAGTAGAGCTCTCTGATCACCCACTACAATGACATCCTTTGGAATGATGCCATCCAAAAAGATGATGTGAAAAGAAGAATAATCTCTGCAGTTATAAGTGATGCTGTGCAAACTACATCTGTCACATTACTGGTGAAAAACAGAAATATCCAGCCCAAAGGCAACAGAGAAACAATCAGGTTATTTCAGATTTATGACAATACTTACTGTGCAGCAGCCAAAGAAGTCAGAAAGAAAAAGCATAGAGGGGCATGTTCTGTACAACCTGCTCCTAATCTGAGATGGCAAAATAGAAGTGCCTGTTTTCTTGTCCTACTATTGTTTGTTCTTCTCTTTTGCCACCTACTTATCTTTCTCCTGAAGCTGTTACCTTTACCCTGCGTGCAGAGAGGCATTAATGACTTTACCTGCTTCCCCCACTGGATAGCTGCTATTGCTGCTGAAGCTCGCAGCTTTGGCCAGCAGCACTGCCAGCATCATTCCTCAAAGGCAGGCAAAGGTCAAACCTTATGACTTGATCTCCATCCACGCATGTGCTCTGAATCTCAATGCAGAGCTGGCTTTGTACCCTCTTAGTGTCCTGTACCTTTGAAGTAAGAAAAACAAAGCTATTAAATCACTAACTGTCCAAAATGGCCTGATCCATGTTTTAGCAGGTAGAGCTAGTCCCTACCCCCAAAATAACAGCACTAATTGATGCTAGCCAGACTGGCCTGTCCCTTTTTTTGCTGTATACTTGGAGAATAACATGTTCGTAAATCAAAGTAGGCTTGATGCTGTAGAAATGTATATAGCTGCTCCTTCTTTTAAGGTTATTAAAAAAATAAACATGCATATATGCAAATAAGTTCAAGACCAAGAGAAAGCAAGGAATATAGACAATATTCATCACCAGAACCTTCCAGAATGGTTGCTCTGTTCTTCTGGCTTTTGAGGGGTTTTCAAAGGGGATTGAGGGCTGGTGGGAGGGAACACAGGCTGCTTTTCAGTGAAGGTTAGTGGACCACCGAGATGGCCAGACTGGCAGACATAAAAACCCACTTTTTTTCTTGCTAGAAAAGTGGCTTTGTGTTGCTCCTCCTGTTCAAGGAGGAAGAAAGGTGGAAAATTTATTCACCTAGTGACAATGTGGAGTTTAAAAGAAGAGGGAACAAGGAGTGAACAACAGAGGGTGGGGAGGGTAGAACAAGCAGCAAATGCTATTAACCTGTTAAAAGATCAGTAGAAAAATGCATTTAAATTGGACTGATTTTTCTTGGGTTTGGTTGCAGGTCAGTTTTGCTGGGGTTTTTTTTCTTTGTTTAGTTGGGTTTTTTTAAACACAATGAGCTGTGCTTTCAAGAGTCATTGATCACATGCAAACAGTTTGCAAAGTCACTGCTGGAAAACCTATTAGCTCAATAAAATTAAAAATTTCACATTTTAAACAAGATATAGTGTATTGAAATATTAAACTTCATAAATCTTATCATTCATGTATTACTTTTAGGAATCCAGTAGTTCTTAACTGAAAGCAGATTTAGTTTTAATAGGGATTAAATGTATTTGCGTTTTGACAGCTGTGCATGAATTTTGATGTTCCAGCAAACTTATTTTTCACCAATTTTAGCCTATTGTAATTCCAATGACTTGATTCAAATTATGCCCAAGTTCGATGTAACAAGTAAATTAAGTTTAATTCTCAAGATAAGCCCATTATTGCCTACCATTTCCGCAAAATAAAAGAAGACATTAAGATGCATATAAGAGATCCCGAATAGCACCAGCACAAAACTCACTTCAATTTTAATATGCTTAAAAAAACCCCACCACCATCTCCCACACACACTTTTCATTCACTTTTTTCAGCCAAAGCCCTCATGTTACTTCAAAGAAAGTATTGAAAAGCTGATGGAATTACCTCCTTGAAATTTCAGTTCCTAGAATCAAAACATTAAACAACTCTTCAACTCATAAACATATTTTTCCCCTCTCCTTCTCTACAAATATAGTCCCATCTCAGAGCAGAACCATGCCGTTCTGCCATGTTAAGCCTTCAGTTGGGATTCACGAGGTTGAGGTACATGTACTTTTTTAGACCAGCAGAGATCATTGATAAAATCACTTCACCTCCTGCAAAAGACAAACCACAGAATTTCACCTCAGCGTTCCCATGTGAATGCTAGTTATGCAAGTTTTATAGTTTAAGTTCACAGCTAAGTTTGGGTAAACACTGGGGAAAAAAAAAAATAAAAAATCTGCAAACTAAAGTTTTGCAGCAATAATGCTCACAGTGCTATCAATTCATTTTCCAGAAAGATTAGCATCCATGATTTTTCAGTCACTGGGTCATTTTTTGGGAAGCAAAATGTTTGCCTGAAAAAAATTTATAAAAAGGTCAGAGACAAAAGTTTTAAGCCAGTACCATTTTGAATGTATTTAATTTCCATCTATTAATAAAGACAGTGCTGATGACTGATTGCTACTATACCAAGGATAAACAGTAACTGTTGAAAACACACAAGGCAAATGCTTCACAAGTGATCCAAAAAACTGATGTATGTTCCCACAAGCGCTGCACGTTCATGATAGCTTTAAACCAACCCAAGTTTAGTTTGCTACTAAGAAGGCACTTGTGCCCCATTTCCCATGAAAGCTCCTGTTGCTACCATACCCCTTTTGCTAGCCTCAGTTTTGGTCAGGATGTGTAGAAAGCTGAATACTTTTTTTATGTAGCTGGATTTGCTTTTATAGCTGGATTGGTTTCTTGATCAAAGCTGTTACTCAAAAATTGAACACTAGTGCCAACGTGAAGGAGGAATGAATGCATGCACTAGGCAGATCGGTCCATTCCTTTCAATTGTAGTCTCCACTTACAACACAAAGTACCTACAGCAATCATGAAACTTCAGCCAGATTGGGTTTTAGACATGGTATTGTCCTAAAAACAGACACAGAGTTCTCAGTTCTGTTCCAAGTTCTGTTACGACCTCCTGTCTGGTTCTGGTTAGCAAACATGTCTCAGCTAAATGTTCGGCAATATTTAAGTATCATCTACCACACTCTGGGGATTATGAAGTCCCTTTTCTTAGGGTGTGAAGATCCTCGAAAGGGCAAAGTATCTTTATTGACTTTTAGCAGCATAGCAGAAGTTAAA